CGTAAGTGGCACCAAATTCTATGGCTAACCTCACTCCCATAAGCGGACAAGCATCGACCGCGCCTACCTCCACTCCTTTCAGCGGTGCAATCCACATCGGTGGCGATGACTCCAGCTCCGAATCAGAGTGCGTCCCCCATATGGAAAAGTCGCACATCGTTGGTTACCACTCTACAAAAAATTGGCGAGAACGCCGCTGAATTCAGTAGCAGCAGCCAGTAATAATAGGGTGCCGCAGCCTCCACAACCAAAAACGTTAAAAACGGTACCAATTATTATCGGCAAATTTTCAGCCAAAATTTCACGGTGTCTTAACTGCTGTATGCTCCAATGTTCCAGAGTCGCAGTATAATACCCCAAAGGGAAAGCTGATGGACGACTGTAAGCACTGGATGTCTATTTGTGACGAGAGTGGCAGTCGTTTGAGCTGCGATGCTGAGACGAGTTTTACGTCCCCCAAATGAAGTGCATTAGGGCGAACCTCGACTTTTCCGGGTGACGATGGATGCGGCTGGTGACACAGTGGCTCTTGTACTGTCATCAATTGGGCTCCGTAACTTATCACATAAGGTGTGCATACTTTTGGGCGTAGCTTGGTACAAACGTCCAAGACAGCGTAGCAATCGTGAGAAAGTTTGTAAATCTCTCGTGAAACGGACGACGAACGTTTACAGTTTCCTGAGCTTCAAACATCCTCATATGCTGCTAGGAACACTCCCTCGACAATATCGTTGCAAAGCAGTTGACGAGACTTCCAGTGTCATCCAACTACAAGGGGAACAATGCCAGTCTGATGAGTGTGATGCTTCAGTCTGCATCTCATAATACTGCAATTAATAAAGAACAATGATTTACCGCGGGTAAAAATGCAGGTGCCTGATAAGTCAGGTGGGATGGCTAGGGTGAAAACTATAATATCATAAAATACGTGCGTCCTCTGTTTAAGCCTCTATGCAACGACTGCGCTGCTGATTAACAGTACTGTAGACTGAGAATTGAATGGAAACACCCAGACAACATGGGGGCAGTTATAACTGTTGTACTCCGTGAGAAAATTAAAGGCACGCACCGCTTCCTTAGGTTTATGTAACACAAATCCGATTGGAAGGCATGGTTACTATATTTCATTGTAGCACCGCCTACGCAACGAATTAATGGGAGTCAATGATAACATCCACTTGTTTTTTGAAGTTATTCAAGATGGGGAGGAAACAAGCGCGTATGGGAAGGAGTTCCAGGGTCGGCAAACCCGAAGGGAACAGTACTTCCGTCGGCATTCCAGACGGCTGCATACTTCATTTATTCTCAAGCAGACACCTCTGGGCTTGTTGTTTTGGCTGTGTTTCAGCAAGTGACTGCTTACATGATTAGGGTTACTCAATATTTGCACACTAATATAAGGAAGTCGCGCAGTCTTGGGTAGCGTCCGTTGGAAAGTCCAAGTGACTTCAGCGTTTGCTGGTAGAACAGACAGCGTAGACCCTTGACGTTCTTCGTAGTTCTGCGTTGTGCTGTCTCTAGCACCACGAGGTCACGCTTCTATAAAAGTTGCATAGCGTAGTAAATGTAAGGGTACGCGCAACTGGTCTAGATTCTATAAGAGACTGCCCACAGGAACACGATTATAGTCAGCAGGTACACGACCGCGATTGGTTGATGACACTCTGGGGACGGCCAAATTGGGGAAATGATTTAGTGACTGATTTAGTGTTACTACTAAATACGGCAACTAAAACGGCTAGTGGCTGACCCCTGAATGGTCGGCATAATCTCTTATTCAAACCACATGTCTTTCAGTTTTGTGCTGAGCACCGGAACACTTTTCAGCACTACACCAACCCCCAAAACCTCCGCCGCAAAATCGCCGAGCTCCGTATGCGTCAGGCAACAAACGCTTGGGATTCATCACTATAATTGCGACTTGGTTGCACTCAAAGCTTACGGTTACCGAGATGGCGATTCGAGGAGTGTCATTGTTCCGGCACCCTCGTCCCAGCAGGGGAGGTGGTGTAATTCTGTACTATGGTAACGACTTAAAATGCGCATCATTAGATGCTACGGAGACTGGGGTCACAGATTTTTTATGCTGCCTATCCAATGGTGCAGATTCAATTACAACTGCCTCGTGCCAGCCTTACTTGCCTCCCACCTTCTACTTTAAAGATGGATACCCGCCTAATATCACCAACGACAAAAGCTTACTACCAAGTAACACCCACGTTCTTACCACATGCAATTTCAACTTAAACCACATGGAAGCATCGACATTCCCCAACAAATTATTCAAGACCGAATTGCCAGACCTTATCACAAGTAGTACGCTCTGCAATCTCATCACCTCACCTACCAGGTATACAGCTGATAACGAACAATCGATACTAGACCTCGTATGTACAAATGAGGAACTCGCGGTTGACAGGCCATTGATAAACACCTCACTAGAGCTAATTGCTCATGTCACCATACTTTATAACTGTGTGTGTTACGCTGAATATCCGGAGGAACACACAGAACTAACACACGCTATCACACATTACCACACCCTGAGCAATCTAGTTGGGACGACCGATTGGGAATTCTTGAAAGATGGCTCACCTGACATCACTTGGATTGAGTTTGTTGGGCGCTTCAGCAATCTACTCGCAACTGCTTCAGAAACGAAGAGGGTTCGTTCCACCAGTCCATCGCCGTTCAGCAGAAGTAGAACACAAAAACGCATGTCACTAAGCAGTGCAGCAGGACACACTTACAGCGCCCGTCTTGGTACCGAAACCTGCAGCGACTACCCTTCCCAGCGCAACTATTGTAATATGCTTGTTCTTAAGGACAATCTGACCCACCAATATTTGGCTGGTAAATTTTCCAACAACAATAACTCCTATGTAAGCATGTTACCACAATTTGGAAAGTGAAGCACGGTGTCCCCCACTCAATACTACAGCCGGAGTGGCATAGAGAGCTAGAGAAGGCGCCAACGCTCTACGGATGCAGTATACCCCGACCTCCCAACAAGATGTCCGTCACTGTTTCTTACCTACATCCATAGCCCCATTTGTAACATTTACTAATATCGCTTTTACTAATAAATCAGTGTTGGAGAAACAGCTCTCACTGCGCACTTACAATTCTCCCGGAATCGATGACATCCACCCGAGGACCCTGAACATAGCATCAGCAACGCTAACCTAACCATTATCTTATTTCTTCTTAACCTGCTTAGATGAGTAATCTGTGCCTACCAGATGGAAACATGGCCTAATCACGTCAATTTTCAAGGTGGCAATCGTTCGGAACCCGCAAACTGTCGCTCCGTGGTCCTTCGCCCAGTACTCTCAAAGATGATGAAGGCAATCATCGCTGAGACTTTAGTTGACCATATAGAACGCTACACCGTTTCCGTCAACATGGTTAATGCACTGCAAACCTAATGATTGCATGCGGCTGTTGAAGATACAGGGGTAGACGTCATTTAGCTCAACTTCCCCTAAGCCTTCGCCCGACAGGACCACCGCATTCTGCTTCACAGGTTCGAAAGCCATGGATTTGGGGATCATGTCAGGATCAGGAATTTCCTGCAGTATCGGTAACTGCAGGTCTGGGCTAGAAGTGTGCTGTCCAATCCGATTCATGTTGAATGTGGCGTTCTGCAAGGATCACTTCTGGAGCCGCGTCTGTTTCCCGTGTTCATTAACAAACTTACGCGTTTGGTTGCTTCTTATTTCTTGTTGTTCGTTGATGATGTTACCATATGCCGCTTGGTCACCGACCCAGGAGGTCACGATGCACTTCAGAGAGACCTGAACAGGGCGTCTGAATCATCACTACGAAACCTGCTCCCCTATAATCCGTCTAAGTATATGGTGGTCTACGTTCGTCGCCGGCCGAACATCATATACAAGCTTAGAGACCATGTCCTGTATGTAGTCACTCAAGAGCGCGACCTTGGGCTATTCATCTAGACCGATTTGGGCTACTCAGAGCAATCGGCAAAATTGTCAAAGACTGGAAACCAACAGGTTGGCATGCTGCGGAGGATGTTTGTGCGGTTTGATCTCTCCATTTGTTTGCAGTTGCTTAACAAATACTGCGGCCTCATGTGGAATAGGCAATGCACGCCTGGCAGTCCTAGTTCAGTTATAATCTCGCAGCGCTCGACGTTCCACAGCGAAGGGCCACAAAGTGCCTCAAAGTGTTGTTTCACCTTTAATATCAAATTAGGCTGCTGGTGCTGCAATTGTACATCACAATATCCTCGCCTACGTGGCGACCTAATAATGGCCAACCAGATTTTTAGGAACCCCAACTACGTCTGCTGCTACCTACTGCAACTCAACCGCAACACGAATTTGTGCGACCACCATTGCAACTTGGCGACGCCATACAGCCGGCTAGAATGTCGGCGAAACTATTACTCTCTTCGTTGCTACCAACCACGAAGCGCCCTCAAAACGTACGTTATTTCCGCCCTTTCTTTACCTGTGCTTAAAAAAGGTCTTAGCATGGCCCTAATCCATCTACGTTACGGGATATAGCCTGTGTCCATCGAAAGACGATGTAGTGTGATCAAGGTTGCACAACCAGTACTAACCTACACGATCGAGGTTGGCTCTTTTCTGCATGCCTCTGTATGAACACTGTGATGAGTCCATCAAAAAATATCCATTTCATCACTATGTTTTAGTTTCACCGTTTGTGGTTCGCATTCTGGCCACTCTATGGAACTTGTCAAGCAATTACCCTTTTATTCGTAATACACCCTTTTTCCACGGTTCCAGCGTAGGCGGCATGGTTGAAGAGTCTTAATCAGGGGCACAAACCGTCTATTAGCCATGATGATGGAAGCTTGCTTTAAGTGGTCTCCGTTTGTATATTGCTATGTTTGTACAGTCCTAGTTAAGACTACTATCTGCTGGTGGGCCATCTGTTGACAAGAATGCTATATTGCAACGTAGAGGCAGAGGGAAAACCTAACAGTTCCTCTTTTATTTCGTTTTCCCTAGTGGGACGCCATCTCTGCCGCTGCGACGGCACCAGAACTGGCACATATTCTAGAGACAGAACCGCGTACTGGAAGGCAGCTTCAAACAGTGGCGTTCACACATAACACCGCTCGCAACCAAGCCTCACGTCTTGGTTTGATAACCTGTCCGAAGGTGAGCTCAATGGAATAATGGCACTGTCTTTGTTGTGATTTGGTTATAAAGTGGTCTAACCCTGCCACTGAAACGCCAGAGTCCCATATTACTCATATAGATTATCTGTCAAATGCAATGTCCCAAATGAGTCGAAAACCTGCGTTTTGAATATCAAATCCCACAAGTACTATCGGCAAATTCGACAACCGAAAACACCATTTTCTGTACAGTCCCTGGATTAACGCTTAAAGCGAGTTTAGTGTAGTTGGACTGAACCTATCACCGTTGAGGCATATCTTTTCCAGCTGTTAATTTTTGGCAATTCTAACGTGACGGACTACCGCAGAGCTGCATGGTAACACTTCATTGTTCAAACAGCCTTGCGTAGTTACTTCGAAAGTATTAAGTGTTTAAGTTGCGTTGTAAAACGCGACTTGAAACTCGTCTAAATATCCCTTTTATTAACAGCTTCATCACAAAAACAGCAGATATGCTCCCCAGAGGCACTCGATAAAAATACCTCGTCTCACAAGAAAATGTATGACTTACTCCTAGCTTATGAGAGGACCCGTCGCGGTCATACGCGGTCACCCAGTCATTACGTTTTCGAAGATTCACCTGACGTAGGATGTACCTTATTGACGGGTCCCAGGAGTAGGAAATCGCCGTTTCGCAGCCACCGGATGTGCGCTTGCTGTCTGACACTTGTATTCGCGACTGGCCTTCTCAAAAACATAAAACAGATTCTCCCGAGAGTCTGTAATACTCTGCGGTTACATGAAAGTCGCCTTCACAACGCTTGAACAAGACACAAATGTTGCGGACGACAACATACGCAAGAGAAATTTACTCGAGTAAGAGGCCAGTATCTGAATGTATACTTCCAGTAATTACGCGGTTGAGACTGAGGATGAGGACGGTGTGTGTTCGGCGTCTGTAGTCTTCCGTTGAGTTGGCTTTCACTGCTTGGTTTAGGGTTGTACGAATCCCCTCCTTCAGGTCGATCTTCGTAGAACACCTGTCTTGTGTCTACTACTAGACTAAGAGAACAGAACCGAAAAGGGAAAAAGCTTGAAACCGACTACGGAATAAATAAAGATAAATAATAAATTTTTCATTCTCGACATTTAAGGCACGCCTGCATAAGCGTGATCATGTTAATACAACCACGAATGATAGCTACTTAGAAAAGCATATTATAAGTTAACCAGTTACAAGCTGGATCTATGTGTATATGGAAGGGCAGCATCCGTGTCCGGATTTACCTGTCACTGTGGCATCCGCAGGAACAACCACAGGATGCCTGTGCCTTCAGAGAAACCATGGGTGACTTGCGCTGCGACACCCACCGTTCCACTCACACACCCCATATCCAGTGTAAACCTGAAGGAATAAGACCGGGAGGCATGTGGATGGGAGCCACGTTTCATCAACAGAGCTAGCCCACACTCCTTCAACAAACAGAGCGGAAGCATTCATGCATAAATGGGGAATCATCTGTACCAGACTTACACAAGGCGGTAGCTAAACCGTAGCCTGTTCCATACAGGATGGAACCACTCATTGAACTTAGCACCGTCACGAGCACTGTGTACCCCGTCCCCCCTAGCAACGACCAACTGTATCCTGAAGCCAGCAACCGAGGTGGGGAGATTTTAGACAGGTATGCACCTTGTCAACAATCACATCAGGTGTAGCCACACCGGGGAGCTCAAGAAACATCTAGCCCCTGAAATGCAAGAATACTCAACAAGCAGGGAAACGTATATATATATATATATACATACATATATATATACATATATATATATGTATATATATGTTGGGCGGCGTCCGGTATCGGATTTGCCTGTCACTGTGGCCAGCCACAGGACGCCTGCGCCTACAGAGGGACCATGCGTGGCTTGCGCTGCACCACCCACAGCTCCAACCACACACCCCATATCCAGTGTAAACCCGAAGGAATAAGACCGGGAGGCATGTGGATGGGAGCCACGTTTCATCAACGGAGCCGGCCTACACTCCTTCACAGGCAAACACAAGCACGCTGTATTTGGGGAATCAAGCGCACACAAGGCGGTGGCTGGACCGTAGTCCGCTCCACATTGACTGCATGGAACCACTCTTTGATCTTAACACGGCCACAAGGACCGTGCACCCTGTCCCCTCCAGCAACGGCCGACTGTCTCCTGGAGCCAATATGGACGAGGTAATGGGTAATAGACAGGTAGGCACCTTGTCAACATGCACATCAAGCGCAGCCACACCGGGGATATCAAGCAACAGCCAATCACTTGAGAGAAATATAACAAAGAAAATAAATCGATTAATGCATAAGGAAATGGTGACATATATCTTAAAGTAATGAGCATCTGAAGTAAGTTGTTTACAGAAGAATGCGAGATAAGTTCACGAGGTCAGAAAGTATACTTTACGGAAATGCCACGAACACAAAAATGTTTTCGAAAAGGACTAGAATTGGCTTAAGTGAAGTGTGCAAGCTTTTAGAAGAGAGTACAGGTAGATATTTATATGAGAAAGCAAAGCATTGGGACAAAATTGAAAACCCACCACCTGAAATAAATAGACTTAGCACGCAAGCAAACGGTGAAATAAATCTTAAGTCAATGAGCATATGAAAAAGTTGTTTACAAAAGAATACGCTTATAAAAGAATATGAGGTAAGTTCATGAGATCAGGAGGTTTATTTTACGGAAATGCTACACACACGAAAATGTTATCGAAATAACTACAAGTGGCTTAAGCGACGTGTGCAAGTGTATAGAAGAGAGTATAACTAGGCATTTATATGAGAAAGAAAAGCGTTAGAGAAAAATTGAAAACCCACCACCTGAAATAAATAGACTTAGCATGCAAGCACGCGGTTAGTAAATCGAATGCAGCGTACCTACAAACGCTGCGCCGGTTCTGCCTACGTTCTCTGCAGAACCCGTCGTCGTTTCCATAGTAGTCCCGAGTGGCCTCGCTCATGGCTCACTAGGCCTGCCTGACTCAGGCACTCGCGACCGCATGTGCTACAGCACCATGCGTCTGATGTCGATGGAGAACAACCCATCGGTGCTTGCCGCTTCCGCACTTGCCGCTTCTACTCTGCATGCATGAGGTCTTTCTCCCGCACTTCAGCAACTGCCTTCGTGATGAGATCGCGCCATACGCGCTGATCAACCGCTTTCGAATCCCATGACCTGCAATCAAGATTAGAACGGGTGAGGCTCACTTTGATCATGTCCTGGTAACGCAACTTTGGTTTCCCTACGTGTCGCTTCCCAATACTCAGCTGACCGTATAAGAGTTTTTTCGGTTTCCGCGTCGAATCTATATGGCTCACATGACCGAGCCATCTCAGGTGTCTCAATAAAAGTGTGCAGTCCACTGCATACATCCCACTTCGGCGCAACACTTCCGTGTCTGCAACTCTGGCGCCCCAACCGATGCGCAAAATTCGTCGCAGACACTGCTGATGGAACCACTCGAGATATCGCACATCCCGACGGTACATCGTCCACGTTTCACTGCCGTATAGAAGAACGGACAGTACCATGGATTTGTGCACCATCAGCTTTGTGCCAATGGTAAGCTGATGGTTGTTCCACATTCGGTACTCAAGCTTCCCGAATGCCGCTGCTGCCTTCGACACGCGAGTACGCAACTCAACGTGTACTTGCTGATAAGTCGACATCACACTCCCAAGGTAGCTGAAGCGGGAGGTGGTTTCCAATACTTCAGCACCAATGCTGATTCACGGCAGTATTGAAGATTGCACCTCCGGTGAAGGCTGAAAGAGACAGACAGTTTTGCTTGTGTTGATGGTGAGCCCGAATTTTGACGCTGTGGAAGCCAGAGCACTAGTCATGTGCTGCAACTCATCCGCGCTGTGTGAAAACAACGCACAGTCGTCAGCAAACAGCAACATACGGATAGTTGTCTCACAGACTAGAGTTCTCGCACCGAAACGACGGATGTTCAATAACCCATCATCATTACGGTGCTCCACACGAACACCGTAAGCACAAGCGGCATCAAAAGCACAAGACATCATTGCACGAAGATATATATTAAACAGGGCAGGAGCTAAGACACAGCTTTGCTTCACACCAGAGACAACTGCAAAGTCATCCGAGGTCTCTCCACTCAGCTGCACCCTCGCTCGCATACCACTGTGCAGACATTCAATTAAACTTACAAACTTACGCGGGCAACCAAACTTACCCAACACCAGCCACAATACCTCGCAGTTCACTCTATCAAATGCCTTGGTGAAATCAACAAAATGCGAGTACAATGGCTGGTGTCGTTCTCTGCACTTCTCTTGCAACTGACGAGCCGCAAACACCATATCTATAGTGCTGCGACCCGAACGGAATCCACACTGCTCTTCCGCCACGTTAGGTTCCACAACTTGACTGACGAGACGGTTGAGCAGAATTCGGGCAATCACCTTGCCCACACAACTCAGCAAGTTGATGCCACGATAATTCGTGCAACATTGCTTGCTACCTTTGCCCTTGTACAGTGGTAGCACAAGGGATCCTTCAGCTCAGGAGGCACCTCCTCCTCAATCCACACGCGTTGCACCAAGTGGTGCAGTGCAGTCAAGAACGCGGGTCCGTCGTGTTTTAACACTTCAGGCGGGATCCCGTCGGCTCCGGTACACTTGCCGTTTCGCAGCTGAGCAAGTGCTCTCTGCGTCTCATCCAGTGTCGGCGTATCCGCCAGATTCGCCTTCACATCGTGCTGCTTCAGGCCGTTCAATGTAGGCCAGTCGATCTCTGAACGGTTGTTCAAGAGACTGAAAGTGTTCTTGCCAGATCTGCATTATGTCTGCAGTCTGTGTGCAGGTAGCACCTGAACTACCATCGATCATTGTCCTCAGAGGCTCTAATCTGTGTCCATACACTGCCTTCAAGGAGTCAAAGAATTCCTTGTGTTGGCGGCATTCGGAGTAGCATTACATGTGCTTCGCCTTCTCCGTCCACCATGCATTTACAATGCGACGG